CATCATAAATATTAATGAATTCTTATGTCAACAGAGGCAGGTTGCTAGGTAACAGTTTCTATGGTCCGTCACTACCTGAGGATGGGTGTGTGATGCCATACGAATGACCCAGAAGTTGTGAAGGTGTCATTTTGAGTGCTTCATGAAAAGCGCTACCTGTTTCTGGTTGTATAAACTTTCTTTGGAAAGTGGATGGCCCCCTCTCTTTCACAGCAAGGGAAAGGATATGAGCAAACAAACATGGCCCATGACCTGGGGGGGGGGGGGTTATTGTTAACGGGGGTCTCCGCTGTCTGTGTTTGTAAAGTCTGCTGCATCCTCACTGGGCGGTTCGTAAAAAAATGGTCAGATTTCTGTTTAAAGTCTTTCATTTTTAAGTGATTCGTTAAAACTACTCTGTTTCTGATTCTTTTTCTTTCTTTTTGTTGCAGTTTTCAAGTGTACTATACATGAATGGGGGGAGGGGGAGACAATAGGACCAACAACAGTGCAAAAACAGGACAAAACAATACTGTACTAAAAGACAAGACAATGCAATACAAAAATACAGCACAATATATGAATTTTAGGCACCCCAAGGCCCGATACAGGTAACTGGCATTCAAGAAAGAAAAAGAAAGAAAGAAAACAGAAGAGAGCAACCAAAAACACCCGAAAAAAAGGGAGAAAAAAACCCACTGAGGGTTCCAATATCAACTGGCTCCCCAACCACTGCTGTACAGTACAGTACAGTTGGATTTCCCAAATAAGGAACGTGTTTGTCTAATATTTAGTGTAGTGACTGTTTGTGGCCAGCAGGGGAGGTGGGGGGGCGCATCCCTCAGAGGCTCCATGCAAATGCACGCTTTGAGTGGCGGTAAACACTGAGACGAGTCCCAGCTAATCCAGGGTGACCTTCATTGTGTTTAGATCTTTTATGTGATTTGCTTGTCGTCTGATGTTTTTCTTTTTTTTGGGGGGGGGGGGGGGTGCTGAAACTGAGTGACACGACCGGCTCATACCCATGTAAAGCGTCACGTAATCGACAACGTGACACACTTAGTGCCTTTACCTTGCGGTGAATTACAGTCGTGGCCAAAAGTTTTGAGAATGACACAAGTATTGGTTTTCACAAAGTTTGCTGCTTCAGTGCTTGTAGATCTTTTAGTCAGATGTTTCTATGGTATACTGGAGTATAATTACAAGTGTTTCAATAGTCAAAGGCTTTTATTGGCAATTACATTAAGTTTATGCAAAGAGTCAATATTTGCAGTGTTGGCCCTTCTTTGTCAAGACCTCTAATTCGCCCTGGCCTGCTGTCAATCAACTTCTGGGCCAAATCCTGACTGATGGCAGCCCATTCTTGCATAATCAATGCTTGGAGTTCATCAGAATTTGTGGGTTTTTGTTTGTCCACCCACCTCTTGACGATTGACCATAAGTTCTCAATGGGATTAAGGTCTGGGGAGTTTCCTGGCATTGGACCCAAAATGTTCATGTTTTGTTCCCCGAGGCACTTAGTTATCACTTTTGCCTTATGGCACGGTGCTCCATCATGCTGGAAAAGGCATTGTTCATCACCAAACTGATCTTGATTGGTTGGGAGAAGTTGCTCTCGGAGGATGTTTTGGTACATTTGTGAGTGAGCCCACTCCCTTGGCTGAGAAGCAGACCAACACATGAATGGTCTCAGGATATTTTACTGTGGCATGACACAGGACTGATGGTAGCGCTCACCTTTTCTTCTCTGGACAACCTTTTTCCGGGTGCCCCAAACAATCAGAAAGGGGGACTTTACCCCTGTCCTCAACAGTCCAATCCCTGTACCTTTTGCAGAACATCAGTCTGTCCCTGATGTTTTTCTTGGAGAGAAGTGGCTTCTTTGCTTTCCTTCTTGACACCAGTCCGTCCTCCAAAAGTCTTCGCCTCACTTGCATGAAGATGCACTCACACCTGCCTGCTGCCATTCTTGATGACCCGATAAATTGTTGATTTAGGTGCAATCTTACTAGCAGCAATATCCTTGCCTCTGAAGCCCTTTCATGCAAAGCAATGAAGACTGCACCTGTTTCCTTGCAGGTAACCATAGTTAACAGAGGAAGAACAATGATTTTAAGCACCAGCCTCCTTTTAAAGCATCCAGTCTGCTATTCTAAGTCAATCAGCATGACAGAGTGATCTCCAGCCTTGTCCTCGTCAACACGCTCACCTGTGTTAACGAGAGAATCACTGAAATGATGTCAGCCGGCCCAGGGCTGAAATGCAGTGGAAATGGGTTTTTTTGGATTAAGTTAGTTTTCCTGGCAAAGAGGGACTTTCCAATTAATTGCAATTCATCTGCTCACTCTTCATAACATTCTGGAATATATGCAAATTGCCATCATAAAAACAGAGGCAGCAGACTTTGTGAAAATTAATATTTGTATCATTCTCAAAACTTTTGTCAATGGCTATAATTTGATGGTATGGGGGGGTTCAAACTCATAATTTTAATACCCGTCTACATGCCTATTCTCTACAGTGTGTCTGACCCTCCTATAAGCAGCCTGTGGAGTTTATTTAAATCGTTAATGCAAGAGCATGCGACCAGAAGTTTTTCTTTGTCTTGCATAAAGTTGTCCCCACTCCCCCCGGCGGTCACAGAGCACATGTGGGGGGGAGCTGAGAGAGAGACCACCTGCACTCAGAGGGTGGCTGCTGTGACCCCCACCTACAAAATCAGGTCAGACACCTCAGGGCAGTGCCAGGCCGGACCAGTCAGGGGTAGCAGCGAGTCGGGCCACTTTCCCGACACCCCCCTGCTCGGTCTGTCAACGACGTCACAGTCACTGTCTCCCAGACCGCCGAAAAAGCTTTTTCAAGGTGATAGATTTATTCTGAAGAGCCGTTATCCACTCTGCATAATCCGGAAGCCGGGCCAGCGCTCCATTTCCTGGCCATTCCCTCGATCTGCATCTTTACCCCGCCTCCCTAAGTGGATTTTTCTATGAAGCACATGACTCACATCATTAAAGTTAACAGGGGGGCTGGCTTCTTGGTGCAGGTGCGGGCAGATTCCCAATGCCTGCCTTAGAGAGGGGGCCTGAAGCTGGGGGTTGGTGGCAGTAAAGGGGGGGGCTGTCTCTGCCCACCCATAGCCACGCCCCTAATTTGGATACCACGCCCCCCCCATCGCAGCTCTACATTATACATAGCAGCGTCTTTAGGAGTGTTCCTGCCTCCTGCCTACGCTCTGTAGTATGAGTGGGGGAGCAGGAAAGCTATATTCTTTGACCCTGATTTGGGGTCTTGCTCCTTTATCAACAACAGCATACTCTTTAGCCCCCCCCCCCACCCCCAGATGTGCTCACTTTCTGAAGAATACTTTGGTCCTGCCTTGATCCTGGAAGGTTTCGGATCGTTTCACTTTTAACTCCAAATCACAGATACGAGAATAAAGTGGATGGTGAGAACTCACCTATGAGACAGGATACCTGAGAGATGTAGCCAGTCCATGTTATTTTACTGTCAGCAGGTTTGCCATGATGCCAAACAGACAGAACAGGCCAGTATGAAACAAACAGATATAACTGGGAATGGGGGGACCGACTCCCTTTTCCAGTGTCCCGGGGGCCCAGAGGGGTTCGGTTGCAACCCCTCCACATTCTATAAGTAATTGAAAAGAAACAGGTTTGCCCACCCCCACCCCAAAATGGGGCCCATGTTCACTGCCTGTCCCGAGGGAGGAGGCCTTTATGTCAGCCATCTGCTGAAGCAGCCTGCCACAATGGGGCAGGAGGAGCGGCCGGGTGGGGCGAGGTGAACCCGCAGATGTCATAACGGTATACTCGCGAAACGCCCCCCGATCTCTGCAAGGCATTAAAAACCCAAACAGCTGCGGAATAGGACTGGATTGGTGCGGGACCACAGTACGGCAACAAGGAGACTGTACGGAGGGGTAAACGCCACCTGAGGATCAGGACAGAGACCCGCAGCTCCGACAGCACCCTCGCAGGATAAGAGGAACCAAAACGGTTGTGCGTCCGGATACTGCCGAATCAATCTCATTCTGTAACGACGTCGGCGCAGTGACCAAATGCGCGGACAGGACGGAGGATCCGGAGGGACAGCCCGCATCACGCCGTCCGCGTTCTTCAGCGGGGGACCTGCAGCGGGGGACCTGCAGCGGGGGACCTGCAGCGGGGGAGGGCATCTCATTGCGCTTTGGGGACATTTGGGATTTGGGTGTTAATCAGTTAAGCTAAATTCAATAATTTCTTATGTTATAATTGTGTCCTGTGGGCAGACTCAACTAATTCTCCAGCCGACGTATGTTAGGCCTATTATTATTATTATTATTATTATTATTATTATTATTATTATTATTATTATTATTAGTAGTAGTAGTAGTAGTAGTATACAAAATTATTATTTATATTTTATTAAAAGTTGTATATGTTGTGTATTTATATTATTGTATATTTACTTGCTTAAAACCACAACTTTCCTTAAACCACAAAAATATATAAAATGTTTTATTTTTGTATTCATAAATTCATCTTCACCCCAGAACCTTACTTTATTGTCGTAATATCTAGAAAGCCTATCACAACAACACAGACACGACGCCATGTAGTCACATAATCTCAGCTCATTGCTTCCGAAAACAAGGATGTAATTGTACCCCTTTTCCCATTTTTCTCCATTTCAATTAGTCTTCAATCGTTTCCAAAAAAAAAAAATAAAACACCCCCGCAAAGTTAACACCTCGTCTGCGATAACCTCAGACAGCCACAAATAGGCGCCCTTTCACTTCGTGTGGAACAGAAACCGGCTAGAAATGGCCAGTGAAAAGTTTTTTTTATTATTATTTTTTGCTGTAAACTAAAAGCGTGCGAGAAGGGGGGGGGGCGCTCAGTTACCATTGGTCTGAGACGTGCCGTTTGCACCCTGTGATTGGCCACAAGGTGTTAAAGGGGTGTGAGATGGGATGGGGGGTGGGGATGGAAGGGGGGGGGGGATTCTGTCAGCCCCCTCACATCCCCGTACCTTACCGACCACAGCTGCCTCTCACATACTACTTACTACGGCTTGCAATGTGACTCAAAAATACCCGCTACAGGAGCGCCGTTTTTGACAGCTGAAGGATTGTGTACGATCACGCCTCTTGGTAACTACAAAAGGGAGAAAACAGGGGGAAATCAAAAGAGGAAAATACCCTTTTGCCATGACAGTGGATTTGCTCGCGATTTTATGTGCAATCGCTACGGTTTCTGCAGTGGAAGGTAAATGATGTGTTTTTTATTCCCTTTTTTAATCCTCCCCGTTCTGTGCGCGCCTCCGAGTCCGCGGGAATGCGATGCACGGCGCTGAGGATGGAGGGTGACCCGCTACGGACAGCGAAACAAACACGTGCACGCCTTAAAGCAATCTGCGGATTTCCTTTCATTAGGGCTGCTCCGTCTCCCCCCTCTGTCCTCACCTCCTCTCCGAATCGGTTGTTTTAATGGACTTTGGTTTATTTGCCCCAGCCACGTCCACCGTGCAAAACTGCAATGCAGGGAGCGAGATGGTAAATTGCGTTCTCTCTTTGCCGTTTCTCGTGCCTTTCTGGGGTAACTTTCCGTGCTTGTGATGTCCGTGAAGCACTCGGAATTGCACCCAGCCCAGTTGAGGGCACCTGCGATTGCTGGTTCGTACAGTGATGCGCTGGGCGCAGCATGGGTCCAAAAGCGTCTTTTTGTGGTCGGGGACCACTGTTCACTCCTCAGGTCATAAAACACACTTTTCTTCACTGGGAGAATGACAGACTTTTATTGCCGGTAAATTAATACCTACGTAATAACAGAAGAGATCAGTTACAGTACCATTACTTTTGAAATATATTTGCTATTATTATTATTATTATTAATAATAAATAAGCCTATACAGGTTATCCCTGCCGAGTACGGGATGTCCAACAGGTATTATTCGTTAATAATGAATAAAATCTTCATAATTTGTGAAAAGATTCGATTCAGTTCATGCTTATTTATTTATTTTCCGCTGTGGTACACTGAATAACGCTGTAAAAGAAGCGCACATGTAGTATTCCTTACTCCCCTGTACTTTTTCAAAGACAAATGACGCTAATATAAACCTTTACTGCAGGACGCTTTCTTGCGCGTCTATAAGTTTAATCGGTGGGATTCAATTAGGCAAGCAGAAGTATCAAAGTAAGGTTCAGTGAGAGATGCTGGCTACACGTAGCCCATTTTAGTGCCGGGACACGATATGTTGATCCTCTATAAAATAAAGATTTTTCGTGGTCAACATAATTTAACGATCTGTGTGTTTTGCGGGAAACGGTTTGCCCTTTACCTTTAGTACTCGGCGCACAGTCTGCGCTTCCATATCTGCAAATGTCTGTTTTATAAAATTGCATGAAGAGTTGAAACGGAGCAGCAGTGCCCCGCGTCCGAAGCGATCGAGTCTCATGCCCGGAGCCGAGCTCTTACGCTGGCGCGATCACCCAGCTAAAACGAGCAAACCCCGTTTTGAGTTTGGATGGTCCGGTTACACACGCCTGACAATTAGAAGACCATGCTTGCATCATCCCTAAACTGGAATTACTTGGTGGGCGCTTCATGTTAAGCTTCTCTTACTAATCCAATTGTTATGCTGTTTTAGCGCTTGATTTTCATCGATAATTGAAATTAATATTGAAAACAATATCGATTGAACGAAGGTGAAGATCCGCTCCCTTCAGCGGAATACTGTACCCTTGCGTATTCCATATACATATTTAATGCAGTTATCATAATGCATCTTTAACGGTAAAGCATATCGCGTTACTCTGGTTTGATTCTGGATTTCATTCATGCGCCCCCATGCCCGCATTTTAAACAGCATTGTTTATGGTGGACACGTCCTTGCTTGTTAATCTCCGCGATCCCTGAACTCGGGACAGACACCATCCCATTTTTGCAGAGAAGAGGAAGCGGCGGCACTTGGGCAATCGAGCTCTTGAAGACAATTTCTACACTCCCGTGTATGCTTTTGTATTAATTCGTTGGGTGATTATTCAAATAATTCCGCGATGTACTAAGTAATAATTTGTTGGGACATTATTATTATCGACCAGTATTTCATAGGCCTATATTTTTTGCGATTCCCTTATATATCGTGTATTTCCCGCATATCCTGAAGGCTTAACGCAGGGGGTCAGAATTCAGCACTTTCTACTCTCAACTTCAATTTTCCTCTCTTGTTCAGAAAAAGATGAAATAAGATATTGACACAAATTATTCTTGTGTAAATGCCACAGACGCCTGGGAGGCCACAGAAAAGTCGTACATAATCATTATTCTGTACTGACAGCTGTAAACCTCCCCCACCTCCCTGTCTGTCCATCTCTCGCTTTCTCAATAAGGTATTTTTTTTTCCAAAATGGCCTGAAGGGGATTGTTTCTTGCAGCAATAGCGCTTGGGTTTTTCGAAGTGACAGAGCCGATTTGTGTCCCATGCTGTCTGAGAAGGGTGGCAGCCCCCCACCCCAATCCCCAGCTGCTGGGGACGGGTGGAGGTTGGTGTGCAGATGGTAAAGAGTGGCAGCACCAAGCTTTGCCATCTGCTGTAGACCCCGCAGAGCAGGTGAGCTGTTCTTGGCGTGATTTCATGGACGAGCCCCCACCCCGGCCCCCATTCTCCAGCATGGCCCGTCTCAGGGGTCATGGAGCGAGTACGTGGCGTGGTGGCTGATACTTCCCATGTGCGTGTTCCCGTGTGTACACACGTGTCCTTAAACGTAGTCTGGCAGACAGTATGAGAAGCCTCATGTCGCTGCATGGCATATGCTGGGAAGGTGGGAAACTGAGCGGTCAGAGACCAGGAGCTGGTCCACCGCATGGATCGGTCCTGTAACCCATGTCCCAGGTCAGGAATCCAGGAAGCATAAGGTTCTTACCGCAAACCTCCAAGACAGGGAGATTAATGTCTGGGATTGTGCCAAAACTACTTAGTGGGTGGTTAAATGCTTAGGAATTATACCTGTGGCTCCAGGTGGTGGATTTTTAAACTGTGGTTACATATCAATCCTTAGGAAAGCAGTCAATCGGAAACTCTGTGGTTAATTAGTCATGTCTGTCAGGGGCTATCGGTTATTGCAGTGTCTGGTTCTCCTGCATGGTGCTGTGTGACATCAGGCCAGAGTCTCTTTCTGTGCCTCTCGCTGTTGACCTGGTAAAGGCGCTGGTGTCTGCAGTGGGGAGATTGTTTCTTAATGAACTGGCTGACTAATTAAAAAAGCTCTTTATGGTAAGAGAGAGAGAGAAAAAAATGACATTATGGTGATTAAAGACGAGGGCTCTCTCATAATCAAAGAAAAAACATCACATAACACACAGACAGTGACACACACAGCATAAGTTCTGATAGAATCAGCAGTTTGGTGTAATAATTACATTCCTTGTCATCTCTCTCTCTCTCTCTCTCTCTCTCTCTCTCTCTCTCTCTCTATGTTTCTGTCGTTCGGTTAATAGTTTAAGACGAAAACATGCCTAGTCCCCATCCCCTGTCACATGGGATTGGGGGGGGGGGGTGGGCCATTTGGGCTTTATCGTGAGCCTTTCTCTCTTCTGCCCCCCCCCCCCCCCCCCCCCCCCCC